ATGCATATCTCACAGAGGAACTTTTCAAATCACCAGGAACCTAAGAGAGGAGCAAGACTGCTTAAAAAAAGCCATTTTTACAACAGTCCTATTCCTTAGCATCACTAATTGTCTTCTCCTCTTGCTTTATTTCTCCTAATTTCTGAGCCCAAAACATTAATAATCTTAAAAGTCCAATTCAAACTCCACCTCCAGAAATCTTTCTTTGAGGTGTTAGGTCCCCATCAAACTTTTCCTTCTGTAATCTAGCATTTTGTATTACAGTATAACAGTTCACTCTCTTAAAGTCTCATGTAGACACTTATGCATTGCCCTGGATTGTTTTTTGTACTGTGAAAGACAAGTATATCATGTCTAAATGTGTTCCTTTTCCCAATACATTTCACTAAGTGTCATTTGTCATTATCACATAAATACAAATTAAGACCCAGTGAGATAGTACCACATGCCAACAAAAATGGCTGAAGTTTAAAATGCTGTGTAGTAATCCTGGAGATCAAAACAGTCAATCCTAAAGGAAATCAACCCTGAATATTCATTGGAATGACTGATGCTGAAGCTGAAGCTCCAATACTTCGGCCACCTGATGTGAAGTCGACTCATCGGAAAAGACTTTGATGCCGGGAAAGATTGAAGGCAGGAGAAGAAGGGGACAACAGAGGATGAGAAGGTTGGATGGCATCACCAACTCAATGGACATGGGTTTGAGCAAGCTTCAAGAGTTGGTGAAGGACAGGGAAGCCTGGCGTGCTGCAGTCCATTGGGTTACAAGGAGTCCGACACGACTGAGCAACTGAACAACAATAGTAATCCTCTTCATCTATATGAATTATGTTTTCTTTATAATTACAGGTAATATCAGTATGCATGTGTGTGCATGCTAAGTCACTACTGTCATGTCTGGATCTTTATGACCCTATGTATTGTAGCCTGCCAGGAATTTTCCAGGCAAGAAAGCTAGAGTGGGTTGCCATGCTCTCCTCCAGGGGATCTTCCTGACCCAGGGATCAAACTCACATCTCTCAAGACTCCTGCATCAGCAGGGGATTCTTTACCACTTGTGCTACCTGGAAAGCCCTAATATCAGTATACAGCTATTATTTTCCAGGTTTTTTTTTTAATCCCTTTACACTGAAACTGCTTTCATCATTATGTTTTAAGTATATATACTAGTCATTATTCTCCAGAGAAACAGAACCAGTAGGATATATGTAGAGATATATAACTTATATAATATGTTATAGGAATATATTATAAGAATGTGTTATAATATGTTATAGGAATTGGATCACATGGCTGCAGATACCAGTTGAAGTACCACAATCTTCCAACTGCAAGCTGGAGAACCAGGAAAGCTGGTGGTATAATTCAGTCCAAATTCAAGACCTGAGAACCAGGGGAACTGAAGGTTTAACTCCCAATCTAAGGCCTAAGAGTCGAGGGTCATTGGTGTTAAGTTCTGGAGTCTGAAGGCCTAAGAACCAGGATCTCTGATGTCCGAGGTCAGGAGAATGTGGACATCTCAGCTTAAGAAGAGACAGAATTTGCCCTTCCTCCACCTCTTTGATTTATTCAGACCATCAACACATTGGATGATGTCTTTCCATCTTGGAGAGCTCTAACTGCTTTATTCAGTCTACTGATTAAGATCTTAAACCCTTCGGGCAGCACACTTACAGACACACCCAGAAGTGTTTTGTCACTTATCTGGGGGTCCCTTAGCTCAGTCAAGTTGACACATAAAATTAACCATCAAAGCATATGTCCTGAAAACCAACCATCTTCTATTTTGTAACTTCATCCAATTTAAGTCTCAGTTTGCAAGTCAAAATTTTAGTCCTTTTATATTTCTGACTATGGTATGTTTGGATTATTTAAGGGAAACATTTAGATTTTATGATATATTTAGTTGTTTCTCAGCATACCACTTTTCCTATATATGAGATAGTCTCCTAGCTTGAGATCTTAATTATGGTACAATTGTACTTGGCTTAGGTAATTTCTCACATAAATTTGCAAGGAAGGCACATAGGTGATATATTTTAGGAGTCTTAGAATATATATGGAAATTTTAATTTGCTCTCATACATTGGAAATTATTTGGGTTTACACAAAAGTATAAGCTCTTGGTCCAAAATGCTTTTTCCTCAAAAACTTATACTGCTGGTTCTATGGTCTTCAAGTGTCCTATGTTTTGTATGAGAAGTTGAATGTCCATCATTGTAGAAAACTTGTTACAGAAGCAGTGAGTAATATTGAAGGTGTATAAGTTCAAGTCAAATTAGTTAGATATGGGGAGAGTGTACACCAGAGGCCATGTTGGTACTCCATGACATCCACAAAACAGTGGAGATCAAGGTAAAGGTCTACGTTTTCTAGATAAAACAAAATTGGAGAAAGAAGAACCCCTTTGATTGTAACATTCTGTACAGTTAAGTTCTAGTGCATAAACCAATATTAGCAATCATTTTTATGTAAATTATAAGGGTCATTCAAGAAGACTTGAAAAATAGAGAGATACATAGAGACAAACAAAGATAATGCTTTAAGTATATCATGCAAGCCACAAAACTTGAGAACTGCCTACAATAAACTTGGAGTGTACAATTTTGAAAAGAGAATAGAGTCTCTCCCAAGACAGATATAATTCTAATTCCATATTGGAATATTTGGAATATATTTTTCAGGGAAAACATTAAGCGGTATTATTTGGAAGTAGAACATTAACTCAAATATCATAGCTATGACCCATTTCTTTGGCAATTGCAGTCCAGGTAAAGGAAGCCTGATACTTCTGAAACTGTTTCACTTAGAAACAAGTCAGGACAAGACACACTCTGACACCTCTCAGAAAAGGAAATTCCTGATTCACAAGCTTAGGGAATTGATGGGTATTTTGGACATTAGCAAATTAGGGCCAATTTGGACTCTTATCTGATCCTCTTTTGCCAGAAGGGAAAACCCTTGAACAGTAGCAAGAAAGGGACAAAAGGAGTTTATGTTAGAGTGAGCACAGCCCTTTTCTGGCTCTTAGCTGTCACTGTTCTTTCTATTGTTGGCATGCTATTCTTCTGGAGACATTGTTTAATACACAGATGGTGTCCTACCTCCCTCTCCGTGTGGACTTTGATTTTCATCTCTAGCGGGAAGCAGAGCCTTAATGTAAGTCTCCACTGGGACAAACACGCTTTTTTTTTTTTTTTGTCATTTCTAAAAGTTTTATTTTGTTCTTCTTTTAATATAACTGGTCAATGAGAGAGTCACTTTTTTAATACCATCAAATTTATAATCCCCTGCTTTATTTCTTTTTAAAATTAATTTATTTTTTATTGAAAGATAATTCCTTTACAGAATTTTGCTGTTTTCTGTGAAACCTCAACATGAATCAGCCATAGGTATACATATATCCCCTCCCTTTTGAAACTCCCTCCGTACTGAAGAATTTATTTACAGGGCAACAGTGGAGAAACAGACATAGAGAATACACTTATGGACATGGGGAGAGGGGAGGAGAGGGTGAGATGTATGGAAAGAATAACATGGAAACTTACATTTGCTGTATGGCTCAGGGAACTCAAACAAACACACTTTTGTCCTGTCTTTCTTTCCCTTGTCCTGATTTTTTTCCTGACTGCTGTGCCCTGTTGGACTGGCCTTCCTACACAATTGTAGTGGGAAAGTCAACAGGGCAGATCATTGTTGGGTTTATGGGTCTAAAACATTTGGTGCCACTTTAGTTCATGGTATGAAGCTCAACTCAAATTTAAATGGCTCGGTTTCCACTGACTGAAGTTTAACTCTTTTGTAGAAAGTTCTCAGTACCTTGGAGTGGTAACTTTCCTAGCCATGTCTCTGTTTCTTACTTGCCTTGGGAATACTGTCTGTGTAATCCAGTGGATAGTAAGTAACAAGCAGAGAGGATTTAGATTCTGTAAGCTTGCCTAAATATCTCTACTTCTTTTCTATTTCCTGTATCTATTATTGGAAGGAATTATTATAAAAGAGACTAATGTTTAGGTATCTATGGCCCACAAAAAGATAAAAGCCTCTAGAATTAAAATATCAAACTTTAAGCAAAATGAGAAAGAGTTTCAGTAAGTAGGATTTTTTTTTTTCATTTATTCTTACTAGTTGGAGGCCAATCACTCCACAATATTGTAGTGGGTTTCGTCACACATTGACATGAATCAGCCATGGATTTACATGTATTCCCCATCCCAATCCCCCCTCCCACCTCCCTCTCTACCCGATCCCTCTGGGTCTTCCCCGTGCACCAGGCCCGAGCACTTGTCTCATGCATCCAACCTGGGCTGGTGATCTGTTTCACTATAGAAAATATACATGTTTCGATGCTGTTCTCTCGAAACATCCCACCCTCGCCTTCCCTCACAGAGTCCAAAAGTCTGTTCTGTACATCTGTGTCTCTTTTTCTGTTTTGCATATAGGGTTATCATTATCACCTTTCTAAATTCCATATATATGTGTTAGAATGCTGTAATGTTCTTTATCTTTCTGGCTTACTTCACTCTGTGTAATGGGCTCCAGTTTCATCCATCTCATTAGAACTGATTCAAATGAATTCTTTTTAATGGCTGAGTAATATTCCATGGTGTATATGTACCACACAGTAAGTAGGATTTTTTGCACATTTTATTCATGAACTTGAAAGTGCAGAATAGGAAGATTAATGTGATCTCCATTCTTATTCACTATGTAGCCCCCAAATTCTTAAAGAAACTACACTTGTTTACTAGTCCCAGAGAAGTATAATGACTGAGTAATGAATTAGGGTTTGGAACTGTGGCATTCAGAAGGGCATGAAATGAATCTTCTTTTGTTGCTCTGGCTCTTATGCTATTGCATCTGCTCTTTTTTTTTGCTGATGTGTGACTCTTACATAGAGATTGCTCATGATTTGGATTATATGCTACTCCTCCCTGTATGTGTGCTTTCATCACCATGTCATAAGCTTCAGGTGAAGGAAGAGTTCCATGGAGATATCAAAGAGGACCTTCCCTGTGGGTCTTCCCTGTGAAAAGGGAATCTTCAATAATTAATTGGTCAACAGCTAGGTGTGATTGGGCTGAGGTCTTTCTCTAGTGACACTAACTCTTTATTTAATATAAATGGTAAAACCCCTATTCTCACATTTCTGTGTTCTTTTATCAGGGAAGGGGAATTTTAGAATTTAATGTAATGAGCACTTAACAAGTCATGAGGTTAAACCCTAAAATGCCCTTGTTCTGCTTGCTAATGTAGAAGAAAACATGAATAATCCAAGCTACCTTTTTCCCCCCTTGTGCTTATTTAACCATGTAAGAGAAGTTTCAAGAGTGTAGGTTTAACACTCAAGTGATTCAGCTGGGGGTACCTCCCACTGCTGCCTCACTTACCTTCCAGTGCCTGCAGTAGACAAAAAATGAGTACGGAGAAAAATGCCATCAGTACAGTCAGGATCACACATATATCACATATCCAAGTACTATACAATGGGTATAGGTCATCTGAATCAGTAACTGGAAAAGAGGGAGGATTTTTTAGAAAAGGTATTTTTGAAACAAAATGAAATAGAATTGGAAAAGATGCACAAATAAGGGAAACGTGTGTAGAGCCCACTTGATAAGAAGATGGAGCATTGATAAAGGGAAATCTGCCTTCTAGCCCTCATTTACTCGTATTTTCTGAGCCCAGGTTGTGACAGCACCTCCAGGCTTTATGACAAGATAAGACTTGCTAGTTTGGATGAACTAGGGTGCACATGCAGTTTGGACTGAGTCTTGAATGCAAACTGTGAAATTCCATCTCTACTCACTCATCCACAGATAACTGAACACAGACTGTAATTTGTTTTTATACTCTTGGTTAGGAAATATAGAAGTAAAACGTTCCAGAAATGTCATAGATATAATACAGTGGGCCTCTGTGAAGGTGGCTAAAACAAAATTATTTGTAACTGCAGCTCAGTGGTGGAAGGCAAAATTTGAATATGCACTGGATATGATCACAATATTGAAGGAGCTCAATCTATGTAAATAACAAATGGACAAACAGTGATAAAAGGGAGTCATCATCATGCAGTTCAGATCTTTAAAGTCTGTCATAGTGATAAAACCCTGGAAGAACAAACTGAAAAGTTAGAGATAGTAGTCTTCATTTCATTAATGCCAAATGTTGTCACTAAAATGTACACTGCAGGAGGTCAGGGTCTTCTCATTTTTTGTTTATTACTGAATCCCCTGTTCTTAGAAATAAGTCTGGCCCTTATTAAATATTTGTTGAATAAATTAGAGCTACAAAAACAATATTAAGCATAAATCCAAAACAGATTCAAAATAATTTTAGATATTTCAATTATAAGACAGAATCTTATAAAACATTATGCATATTATATTCCCCAAATTGAAATAAACAAGAAATATTAGAAAAGTAAGAAATATATGCAGTACAGAAAATGAGACTTGGTACCTGTGGAAAGTAGTAAATAGATGGAATTGAAACATAACATCTAAAATAGAGAATTTGAAGGTGAGTTCCAAAACAGAGTAGTTATGTTTCAGGAGGTAACTGATAAACTAAATAAAAAATGGGAAGACACGAACATGAAGAGAAAACAGAAAATAAAAAAGAGAAGGAAAGAGACATATACCATGGAGTAGAAAGTTCTGATTGATAGTTATCTACAGCTGTAAAAAAAGAGGAGTTGAAGAATGGAAAAAGGGAAGAATTTGAAACAATGGTAGTTGACAATTTTTGAGACCTCATTAAAAAAACACTAATCAGAAAATCAGGGAACCCTACAAATATCTATTATGAAAAATTTTTTAAATCCCACGGTAAGGTATGTACACGTGTGCGCACACACACACACACACACACACACACACAGGCAAATAAAATTTCTTTAATCAGTCAGAGGATAAAACAGTTCACATTCAAGAGTCACAGTCAAACTGACAGCAGATTTCTGAATAGAATAGAAGCCAAAATAGTGACATAATATATTCAATGCACTGGAAGAAAATAACTTCCAACCTAAAATGCTGTAACTATTGAAATAAAGTTGAGGTAAAGGTTGCCAGTCAGAATGTTAGTATTTGTAAAGTCTGAGATGCAAGAAAGAATAAATGTATTTAAAAAACTGTAATTATATAGATAAATAAACAATGGTATATAAAGCAATGGTTGTAATAACCTCTTCTGAGGCTTAACTATACACAGCATTAAAATTCCCAACAACCACAATATGTAACTCAACAAGGCTAAATGCTATTGAATTAGTCTAAAGTTGTTTTATCTTCTAATGGTGTTTAAAGTATTAATTCACTTTGGACTTGGTAAGTTAAGTGTATGTGTTACAATTTCTAAGGGAATCACTTAGATAATAGAAATGCTGTATAAATTATATGACAATTATAAATGAAAACAGATGGAATTGTTTGAAATTATGAAAATAAAAATGGAATTACTAAAAATATACAACAAAAGTGAATGCAAGAATGGAAACATACATAAAAGAGGAAGGTCACAAAATATTAATAAGCACAAAATATTATTAGGGATTTGAAACATCAATAAGCAAAAGGGATAAATGATCCATTTAAATGACAATTATCAACATCAATTTAAACATTAAAATGTAATTATATGATTTTTTGCAAGAAGAATATAAAAACATAAGCACACCGACAAATTTAAATAAAGATTTTTATAAGATTGAGGGTTAAAAAAAGATATGCAATGCCAACAAAAGATTACCAGTGTAGCTATACTACATTTAACAAAATAGATACTAAGGCAAGAAAGCATTATTACCTACACTGTAATGATTAATATTCTCTTTCATCAGTAACATTTTTCAATTTTAAATGAATGTATAACTAGTATGGCTTCAAATTAAAGAAGTCTAAAGAAAAATTGACAAATTACATCATTTATATTCAATGCAATTTTGATTTTGATATTTTGCTCTTAAATTTTTATCATTTTTTAAAATTTACTTTCTATATTTCCCCTATATCTTATTTCTCTGTTTCCTGTTTACTGAATTTTTGAAGTACTTTGAGCTTTTTATTGTTGTATTTTAATTTATCTTTTGTGTTTTGAAATTCTATCATTTTACAGTTTTGTTTATTTTTTCTGTTTCAATGATTGCACTAGGCATTAAAATATACATATTCAACTTTCTACAACCTACTTGGAATCACAATTTTACCACTACAATTAGGTCCATTTAATTATTACTACTTTATGTTGTAGTTGTCTTATACATTACGTCTATATCTAGATACATTAAAATCCAGTGGGACAATATTGATTTTTGTTTTTCATTATCAAATGTTCTGGAAGGTTTTTTTGTATGTTTGTTTGTTTTTACTTACCTCCATTACTATGATCTGAATTTTCCTGTCCCTCTCAAAATTTATATGTCAAAATCCTAACACCGAATGTGATGGCATTAGTAAGTGTAGCTTTGGGGAAGTCATGAGGTTGGAACCTTCATGAATAGGATTAGGGTTATCATAAAGGAGACCACACTAAGTTCCCAGGGCCCTTGTGCCATGTTAGGACATAGTGAAAAGGCGCCAGCTGTGGAACAGGAAGAAGACCCTCACTAGAATATGATCATCCTGGCACTTTAACCTTTGACATTTTAGCTTCCAAAACTGTAAGAAATTAATTTCTATTGTTTATAAGCTGCTAGATCTGTGGCATTTTATTATAGTAGCCTCAATGGACTAAGACCAAGCCAGTGATTTCCAGTGATGGTATCTTTGTCCAGAGTCAATTCATAGGACAACATAGAGAGAAATAGCCAATGGTTTTTCAAGAACTCAAGAGAAGGACATAATAGATTTATCCAACTATTTACCATTTCTCTTGTGCTCTGCTTAGTCACTCAGTCGTGGATGACTCTTTGTGACCCCATGGACCGTAGCCCACCAGGCTCTACGGTCCATGGAGATTCTCCAGGCAAGAATACTGGAGTGGGTTGCCATGCTCTCCTCCATGGGATTTTCCCAACCCAGGGTCTCCTGCATTGCAGGTGGATTCTTTACCAGCTGAGCTATACAGGAAGCCCACCATTTCTCTTACTCTTCCTTAATCCCTAATGTTCATATTTCCTTCTGGTATTATTTCCCTCTGTTTGAAAAAAATTTTAAGCAATGCTTCTCAATAGCTAACCTGAAACTAATGGTGTGTAGGTACATGATAGATAGATGATAGATAAATATGTAGATGTTAAAAGGTTAGATAAATAGATAGATACATAGATAGGTATTACAGCATGTAAATCGTAGTCTGACATCAGTTTTGTACAGTCTTACATAGTTTTACTACTTTCTAATTAACTTCATAGGATTGGCCTTTGTGTTCATCTTTGTAAGGATTTGAGACTCGGGTTTATAAATGGAGGTGCAAATGGTTTATATATACCTGGACATGCAAATAGTTTATATATAACTGGAGATGCAAATGATTTATAACTGGAGATGAAAATGTGCTTTGTTTGTGGGCAATTAAGAAATATGTAGTAGATTGGGAAAAACCCTAGCAAATAATAAAGGAATTCTTTTGTTTACGTTGACAGTCATTGTTCTACATAAATATTTCCCAGTGATTTCAACTGATGAAAAGTATTGCTAAATTCTCAGATATTAGCATCATAAGGCATATGGCATAGTATAATTGCACTTCTAAATGACACCTAAATATATAGTAAAGAGAGTTAAGAGATAACTTTCAATAGTTTTGAAACTGAGTAGGTAATAAAAACAAGCAAAAATTTACATTTCAATTTTTTCATTAATTTTTCAAAGAAGATCTCTAACCCAAAACTGCTTATGAATCATGACTTGGAGTCAATCTATAGGTAGCATCAATAATTGGGTTTTACAATGGAAAAAGTTATATAAACATGTAACTAAATCACTTTACTGTACAGCAAAAAGTAACTTAACATTGTAAATCACCTATAGTTCAATAAAATAATTTTTTTTTAAAAATTGGGTTTTGTCCAAGTGCCCCTCCACAGATGATTGGTTTAAGAAGATGTGAGATACACACACACATACACAGGAAAGTTACTCAACCATAAAAAAGAACTAAATATTGCCACTTGCAGCAAGATGGACAGACCTACAGAATATCATATAAAGTGAAATCAGACAAAGACAAATACTATGTGATATATGTGGAACCTAAAAAAATACATATGAATATATATATACATATAAAACAGAAACAAAGACAAAGAGAACAAACATGGTTACCAAAAGGTAAAAAGGAGGCAGGAGAGAGATAATTTAGGACTGTGGGACTAACATATACAAACTACTACACATAAAATAAATAAGCAACATGGATTTAGCCTACAGCACAGGGAGTTATTAATATATTCAATATCTTATAATAACCTACAATGAAAAATAATTTTGAAATGTATATATATAAGCTAATTACTTAGCTATATACCTGAAGCTAACACAACACTGTAAATCAATAACACGTCAAAAAATAACAATTGGGTTTTTTAAGTATGTGCCTGGATTTGACAAATTTGGATGAAATGGCTATAAGGCCTGAAGGAATGTATATTTTCCCTTGGAACACAAGCAAATATGACCATAAGTGGTGGCAGAAATACAGCTATCAGTACAGCCTAAAACTCTGGGCCTCAGACATTTCAGGGAGCAGAATCTAAAGCCTCTGGCATGTCACCTAAACCCCAACTCCTTATCCTGTTGCTTCTACAAAGATCACCCAGCTTTATTTAAATACTACTAATAACAAGGGCACCAGGCAAGAGAGACCTGTTTCATAGTGCCGTTTACCTCCATTCTTGAATATCAAGTAGATAGGGGAGATGCCACCATGTATCAGGAAAGGGATACAGTATGAAAAGAGAACGAACCATCTGTTCTGTGAAACTGAAAAAAAAAAAGTCAAAGAGAAAGAGAGTTAGGAAGATAGGTCTTTGGGGATACATTGGAATAACAACAAACATTCTGGTTACAGGAAACTTTGGAAAGGTCTCATTGCTATATCTACTCATGTGTGTTTAGCCTATGTCAGAACTCAGGCACAAAAATTAGGAGTTGGGTTGAAGTTGGGCTTACAGACATTTACATTGAAGATAGAGAAGGGTTAGGAAGAATTACCTCCCTCTGCACAATGCAGCACATGATCAGCCTTGAAATAAGATCTAGAAAGGGTAGGGGCCTGGTTACTATAACCTTGTAAATGCTTAAGGGTCTAAAGTTTATAGAATCAACAAAGTGGTACTTTGCAGAAACTCTGAATTAGCTAACAGGACAAAAGTACCTTGGAAGCCAAGAATTTAACAGATGTAAGAGCCTTAAGGTAAAAATGAAAGCCCTTCCCCTACAGCATCTCTGTCATTTAGCTACTTAATCTTTGCTTGAATAGTCATATACTAAGAAGCTTACAACAATGTAAGAAAGATCATTTCAAGACTAGACAACTCTTCTTATTAAACCATGAGTTCCTACAGCAAGCAAGATGAAAAAGATGCATTTATTGATTCTTAACATTTCTAGAGGAAAATGACAAGGTTGTTGGGTAATCCTGAAATACACTATGCAAGGAACAAATAACTGAATGCTTGGCTTAGAATAGAAAAGGTCCAGAAAGTATTTGCTTTTATTTTTGTCTTAGTTCTTTGTTTTGTTTTTTAAATCACAAATACCAGAAATTACCAAAAAGAAAGTTCCAAAAGGAAGAGTTTTCTCATGTCACCCTAGAAGTAAACTCTACAAGGGCAAAGACTTTTTGGCTTTTTCCTTGTACTTTATTGTTGGTGTCTAAAACAGTACCTAGTATCTAGGAGAGGTTTAATATAAATATGTTGAATAAATAAGTCAATTTTGTAATAAGCCAGTGACCTCCCCATCATTGTAAAATAAGCAAAGCATAACCTTGATAAGACACAACGTCAACATGAAGACAAGCATGGTGGCTGGAGCAAAGTGCTTGACGTTTGAAACGTCTGGGTTCCAATCTTGCCTCTATATTTATAGGTCATTTGAGCTTGAACAAGTCGCTTAAAAACTCTGCTCCTTAATTTCTTCATCTAAAGAATAATTATAATAAGTAGAGCTTACCTTATAGGAATGTTTGGGTAAGTTAGTAAGTGGTTTACTACTTATTGTTGGTCGCATCGGTTGACATATGATAAATACTCATTCAAGGTTATAGAGGGATTTATGAATTAAGTAGAAGCCTGGACACGTTGAATCCTATGTTCTTTTTTAGCCTTATATTTCCTGAGTCATAGGTAAGTCTCATTTTCATGACAGCTCTCAGAAGGAACCTGTCTTGTGAACTGTGTTTGTGTCATTTTTTCACCATATATCAGATAATCTCCCAAAGTCTCCTGATCCATCTCTTCCTTCTTTCAGAAAAGCCTAGAAGGTATGACAGCTTCTTTCTCTCAGAAAGTCTAAAGTATTTGAGGTCATAAGCAGTCACTTCTATTATTCATCTTGCATGGTCTGAAGTTCCTAAGGTCAAAATCATTCTCCAACATATCTGATAACTTCAACTGCCCTCTGTTTTCAGTTCACTTAAATTAAGCCTCCATTTCCTACTTCTAATGGGGGAAAAAGAGTGTATGTTCAGGTGAATTTATAGGAAGAGAAAAAGTGGAGTTGAGAGCAAACTGAGAAGGGACAAAAATCTGGGTATTGGTCCATATGTTTTTCTTTTATTGTTGTCATCAGGTAAAATATTCTGAACCATTCTAGTGATAAGTTTAAAGATCCATGGCTGCCTATGGGAAAGGACAGATTATTATCATTAAGATTTCAGAAAATGGCCCAAGTGATGGGAAACAGTATCTCTGAAAGGACCAGGAGATCTTGGTAGTGATAGACACTATAGCAGCAGCAGTGCTGGAGAATCACATAAGGAGAGAAGATGGCAGCCTAACCCAACATAACTCAAGACATTGAGACCGTCTTTGACAGAGGAGTGGGATACATTGAGGTGTAGGTTTATAATTTTGTATGAGCCTTCCCTGGGCATTTGATATCAGGTAAATAAGGGGTGACTTCAGAGCTTTTTACCTTTCCTGGATAAAATACAGTTTATGCTGAAACACAAAAGAGCAAGTAAAATGATCAGATATATCAGGAGGTATAAGTTCTCACATAACATCCCCGCACACTTTGATTTGAACAGGATATCTGAAAGAGAGAGAAAGATGTGATAAGCAGGGCAGTGGTATCACAAGGCTCCATGGGCATAGACTACTGCTGCTAAGGAAGCAGGACCCCCTCTCAAGGCCCCCGTTACACTATGTACTATGTACCAGGCTCAGATGAAGGCTACTGTCCCATGAAGCTGGAGTGGGGCATAGACTAAAATTAGGGAATCAGGCTTGGATTGGACGGGGGAATAACTTCCTACTTTTTTCCTTTTAATTCTAGGGGACAAATCATGAAATGAAAAAAATTATAGGACAGGGACCTGGGCATGACAATACATGCAACATTTGGGGTTGCCAATGGCCATGGAACTAGATCAGGACATGCCTCAGTGAAATTTTATAAAGTTTCAAAAACTGCAAAATATCTGAAATTCTAGAAATAAAACTGAGTTGCCTAACATTCAGTGTTTAAATTCTCTCTAGTTTAGGACTGACATGATAAAACTTCCCCTAGGAAAGAAAACCTAATATCCTTCTCAAAGTATTTTGTAAAGCTATGAATTGCTCAGTGGAAATAAATCAAGGAAGTCCTCAAACTCCCCAAAGTGCACAAAAGTGTAATGCCAGCATTTGCCCCATCATTACTATCAATTGCCAGTGACCTGAAGTTGTGGTTTAATTGCTGTTGTGTCTGACTCTTTTGCGACCCCATGGACAGAAACCCCAATTTAGCTATTACAGTGGCATATGGTCACCAAGTGAAAGATTATACATTATCAGTCTCTTTGGCAGTTAGCTGTGGTAATTAATATTAAGTCAATGGGAGAGAACTGGAGTGATATATGCAACTTCCAAATGTGAAAGGAAATTGCTTTTTTCCTGCTTCTTCCCTTTCTACATCCCCAAGACTTGGGATAAAGTTGTAATGATGAAAATCAGACCTAATCATGCAAGGAGGACTAGAACATTTGAGGCTGCAAAGCAGCAAGGTAGAAAGAACCCAGGTCTCTGAGTATCTCAAGGAGTATAGAGAGCCTCGTAAACTATTTGACTATTTCTGTTGTGTTTGAACTACTGCTGGGGATGGTAATCTTTCTGTATAACAGCTGAACTGTTATTCTAACTAAATGGGCCTTTTCTCTCCTCCTGTCATTTCCATCCACCTTGACTTCTTTGGGGCCTGTACTTAGTCACTGGCTGAAGCACAAAGGACACAATTCATTGTGTTTACCTCTGACTTCCCTGATCACACTTACCCTTTGTCAGAAAAAAAATAGCCTTGCTTAGATCATAGGTACTCACCATGTGAACTGGGCCCCAATCTTAGATTTGTCACTTACTGGTTGCTGGATATTTACTAACTGTTCTGTATATCTATTCATAAGGTGATAATAAAGACCACTTGTGGCATCCGTAATTGTTAAGTCAATCTTAGTTTTGCATTTTGCTTTATGTCTTGTAAAGCCATTTCATTTGTAATATTTCATTTCAAATTCAAAATGCCATCTATCTATGCTATCATCTCCAAACGAGAAAAATGAGTGGTCTTAAAGGTTAAGTGGATCTAGAAAGAGTAAATATAGCACTCAAATAATAAAGTTCACAAGGCTAGAAAATAGTGGATCTAGCATTTGAATGACATATAATTTTTGAAGCCTTAACATGTTAAACAGAGTAAGGGCTCTTTATCTAATTAATGTAATTATTTCCATTTAGAAAATATCCCCTTTAACATCTTGTGTTTTCCCTGCTCCCGGGAAGTTAATAAAATTTAAATGTTACATGTCTAGAGCAGTTTGTAGTTTATAAAGCAATTTCACATTTATTTATTTCAGTCAGTTTTATCTTTCGCCTGTCACATAGATGAAAACAGTTTCTCCTTGATAGAGCCAAGCCGCAAGCACTCACCTGGTAGGATAACACCTGCCCTTTTCTCTTGACCAGTGACTGGATTACAAATGCAGCAAGTGACAGGACTGTGGGTGCTGTTTTTGAGAAGAACACTCATCTTCAGGTGCAATAATCCAGCTCCATCCACTGAGGAGGACTTTGATGAGTATGGAATTACATTTCCCCTGCTGTCTCTCCACTCCATCTGGGGTGATGGGAACCACCCTCCCGAATTACACTCCAGCATGAGCCCTTTTGTGTCAGGAACATGAACATTAATCTGTACATCCAAGCCTAGAGCTGAAGGAGAAGACAGAAATACTATTATATTTATTGTTGTGGACTCAAAAGCTGAAACATAGTTTCCTCTGATTCTCTGTGGTCTGCTATATACACCGTAAGTTTAATATGGATGGGCAAATTAGGGCAAGGGTAATACTCTAATCCGGGAGTATATCAATATCAATAACCTCAGATATGCAGATGACACCACCCTTATGGCAGAAAGTGAAGAAGAACTAAAAAGCCTCTTGATGAAAGTGAAAGAGGGGAGTGAAAAAGTTGGCTTAAAGTTCAACATTCAGAAAACTTAGATCATGGCATCCAGTCCCATCACTTCATGGCAAATAGATGGGGAAACAGTGGAAACAGTGGATGACTTTATTTTTCTGGGCTCCAAAATCACTGCAGATGGTGATTGCAGCCATGAAATGAAAAAACACTTACTCCTTGGAAGGAAAGTTATGACCAACCTAGACAGCATGTTAAAAAGCAGAGACATTACTTTGTCAACAAAGGTCCGTCTAGTCAAGCCTATGGTTTTTCCAGTAGTCATGTATGGATGTAAGAGTTGGACTATAAAGAAAACTGAGTGTCGAAGAATTGATGCTTTTGAACTGTGGTGTTGGAGAAGACTCTTGAGAGACCCCTGGACTGCAAGCAAATCCAACAAGTCCATCCTAAAGGAGATCAGTCCTGAGTGTTCATTGGAAGGACTGATGTTGAAGCTAAAACTCCAATACTTTGGCCACCTGATGTGAAGACCTGACTCATTTGAAAAGACCCTGATGCTGGGAAAGATTGAGGGCAGGAGGAGAAGGGGATGACAGAGGATGAGACAGTTGGATGGCATCACTGACTCAATGGACATGGGTTTGTGTAGATTCCAGGAGTTGGTGATGGACAGGGAGGCCTGGCGTGCTGTGGTTCATGGGGTTGCAAAGAGTCGGACACGACTGAGCAACTGAACTGGACTGAACTGAATATTTCAATCCAAATCCAGGATAGCAGGGCACTAAAAGTATGAACCATAGAAGAAAAGATTGTCATTATGTCTATAATCCATAAATTAGACTTTACAGTGGTTAATAATTTCTGTCCATCAAAACACAATAGGTAGAAGGTAAAGAAGCAAGTTATAGACTAGGAGAAGATGTTCATGATACATTTGAGAAAGAATCTGAGTCCAAAATAAATTTTTTAAATACTATAAATCAATAAAACAGCAAACCTGGTTGTTAAAATTAGGAAAGATTTGAAGCATTTGATTTTATACATATATATATACATATATATGTGTGTATATATATCTTCAGATGGTCAACAAGTACATGCAAAGATGCTCAACATCACCAGCTATCAGAGAAAGGCAAAGTAAGATCTCAACGAGATACCACTTTACCCCCAACAGAATGTCTACATGTTTACAATGCACGGGACTGGGACCAGCATTACCAAGGGACAGGGGATGGCAGAGGTCTTCTACACAGTTGGCTCCAGAGAAGTAAATGGGTCCAATCTCTGTGGAAAATTATTAGTATCTACTAACATTAAGCATATACTTATGACGCAGCAATTCCACTCCTAGTTAACAATGTAAGAGAAATGAGTATTAATGTCCACCTAAAAGGGTTTTCAAGGATATTCATGGCAGTGTTATTCATTAATAGCCCCAAACTGAAAATATCCCAAATGTTCAGTCATAACATAGACTACTACAAAGAAATACAGAAGAACAAACTTCTGCTAGTTACAACATAAATGAATGATGGTGGGCAGGTAATGGTAATCATAAATATTAAGCATATGTTTTCACTTATATCAAGTTCTAGAAGAGGCAAACTCATCTATGGTGATAGAAGTTAAAGGACTATTTCCCTCAGTAGGAAGAGAATGGCATTAACTACAAAGGAGCAAGATGGAACCATCTGGGTAATATCTTCATCTGAAGGGCAAGTTCATGGGTATCCCAATATATAAAAATTCACTGAGCTGTACTTTAAGATTTGTGCACTCTACTGTGTGTAAAGCATACCTCAATACAAAAAGAAGAATATTTTTTAAAAATCCAAAGCTAAAACCAAATTCCACTAGGTATCCCCATCTCTATAGAGTCTATTTTGAAATTTGCATCACTCTGAGCATAGAAATGGAATCAATTTATTTGGAGGAGTAGATAAGTATACAAATAATAAATACAACTTAAAAATATTAATGGTGTGTTTAGAGTAGTAATGATGATGCAGTATTTTGAACCAATTTTTCTGCTGAAGACAACCCAAAGGTGAATGAAATAACAAAAACTCATCCCCTAAGATTTTCTCGAATGTCTAACAAGACAGAGAAATTACAAGACTTGAACAGGTAAAGGGCTTCCCTGGTAGCTCAGCTGGTGAAGAATCCTCCTGCATTGCAGCAGATTCTGATTTGATTCCTGGGTAGGAAAGATCCCCTGGAGAAGGGATGGGCTATCCATTCCAATATTATTGGGCTTTCCTGGTTGCTCAGATGGTAAAGAATCCACCAGCAATGCAGGAGACCAGGGTTCAGTCTCTGGGTTGGGAAGATCCCCTGGAGGAGGGCATAGCAATCCACTCCAGTATTCTTGCCTGGAGAATCCCCATGGACAGAGAGTCTGGCAGACTACAGTCCATGGAGAGGTAATGGATTGGAATTCAGGGAGGGTATAGCCATTTCTGCCTCTGGTCATAGCTTGTCAGGAAAGTAACTCATGACCTTGGGTTTTTGTTTTTGTGTTGTTGTTGTTGTTGTTGTTGTTGTTGTTTTAAGAGAACTTCTGGGAGTAAAAGAGAAAGGATTGGAAACTAGAGGCCCAGGAGGGTGAAGATCCTGGTATATTAACCCCACTCCATACCCATATAGATATCAGACAGTTATTGGCCTTTCCCCTGGAGACCTTTTCTGATTACCTAGAGGCAATTTGAAAATAATGAGCAGCTTGGAGTTCCCTAAAAGTAGAAGAGGCCCTTCATTAAAGGAGTTTGGCACCTATCAACACAGAAATTTAGAGTTCATACTGATGCAGGAGAATAAACTGTACCCCATGCGGAAAGAAATATCAGTTCTCTCCAAATTTCTCTGTCAATTTAATGAAGTCTAATTAACAGCCCTTTTCATCATATGGGACTGGAATGCAAAAGTAGGAAGTCAAGAGATACCTGGAGTAACAGGCAAATTTGGCCTTGGAGTACAGCATGAAGCAGAGCAAAGGCTAACAGAGTTTTGGTCAGAGAATCCACTGGTCATAGCAAACACCTTCTTCCAACAGCAAAGAGAAGACTCTACACGTGGACTTCACCACATGGCCAATACCGAAATCAGATTGATTATATTCTTTGCAACCAAAGAGGGAGAAGCTCTATACAGTCAGCAAAAACAAGACTGGGAGCTGACTGTGGCTCAGATCATGAACTCCTTATTGCCAAATTCAGACTTAAATTGAAGAAAGTAAGGAAAACCACTAGACCATCCAGGTATGACCTAAATCAAATCCCTTATGATTATACCATGGAAGTGACAAACAGATTCAAGGGATTAAATCTGATAGAGAGAGTGACTGAAAACTATGGATGGAGGATTGTAATATTGTACAGGAAGCAGTGATCAAAATCATACCCAAGAAGAAGAAATGCAAAAAGGCAAAATGATTTTCTGAAGACACTTTACAAATAGCTGAGAAAAGAAGAGAAGTTAAAGGCAAAGGAGAAAAAGAAAGATATATCCATGTAAATACAAAGTTCCAAAGGATAGCAAGGAGAGATAAGAAAGCCTTCCTAAATGATCAGAGCCAAGAAATAGAGGAAAACAATAGAAAGGGAAAGACTAGAGATCTCTTCAAGAAAATTAGAGGTTACCGAGGGAACATTTCATGCAAAGATGGGCACAATAAAGGACAGAAGATATGGACCTAACAGAAGCAGAAGATATTAAGAAGAGGTGGCAGGAATACACAGAACTATACAAAAAAGATCTTAATGACCCAGATAACCACAAAGATATGATCACCCACCTAGAGCCAGACATCCTGGAATGTAAAGTCAAGTGGGCCTTAGCATCATTATGAACAAAGTGAGTGGAGGTGATGGAATTCCAGTTGAGCTCTTTCAAATTCTAAAAGTTGAGGCTGTGAAAGTGCTGCACTCAATATGCCAGCAAATTTGGAAAACTCAGCAGTGGCCACAGGACTGGAAAAGGTCAGTTTTCATTCCAATCCTAAAGAAGGGCAATGCCAAGAATGCTCAAACTACTGCATGATTGCACTTATTTCACACGCTGGCAAAGTAATGCTCAAGATTCTCCAAGCCAGGCTTCAATAGTATGTGAACTGTGAGCTTCCAGACATCCAAACTGGATTTAGAAAAGGCAGAGGAACCAGAGATCAAATTGCCAACATCCATTAGATCATAGAAAAACCAAGATAATTCCAGAAAAACATCTACTTCTGCTTTATTGATTAATACTACTTCTGCTTTATTAAGTCAAGGCCAAAGCCTTTGACTGTGTAAATCATGACAAACTGTGGAAAATTCTTAGAGATGGGAATACCAGACCATCTTACCTGCCTCCTGAAAAATATGGATGCAGGTCAAGAAGCAACAATTAGAACCAGACATGGAACAACAGACTGTACAACAAAGAAGTACATTGAGGCTATATATTGTCACCCTGCTTAGTTAACTTATATACAGAGTACATCATGCGAAATGCTGGGCTGGATGAAGCACAAGGTGGAATCAAGATTGCTGGGTGAAATATCAATAACCTCAGATATGCAGATGACACCACCCTTATGGCAGAAAGCAAAGAGGAACTGAAGAGCCTCTTGATGGAAGTGAAAGAGAAGAGTCAAAAAGCTGGCTTAAAACTCAACATTCAGAAAACTAAGATCATGGCATCTGGTCCCAGCACTTCATGGGAAATAGATGGGGAAATAATGGAAATAGTAACAGACTTTATTTTCTTGGGCTCCAAAATCACTGCAGATGGTGACTGCAGCCATGAAATTAAAAGACACTTGCTCCTTGGAAGAAAAGCTATGACCAACCTAGACAGTATATTAGAAAGCAGAGACATTACTTTGCTGACAAAGGTCTGTGTCTAGTCAAATCATGGTTTTTCCAGTAATCATGTACAGATGTGAGAGTTGGACCATAAAGAAAGCTGAGTGCTAAAGAATTGATGCTTTTGAACTGTGGTATTGGAGAAGACTCTTGAGAGTCCTTTGGACTGCAAGGGGATCAAACCAGTCAATCCTAAAGGAAATCAGTCCTCAATATTCATTGGAAGGACTCATGCTGAAGCTGAAACTCCAATATTTGGCCACCTAGTGGGAAGAACTGACTCCTTGGAAAAGATCCTGATGCTGGGAAAGATTGAAGGTGAGAGGAAAAGGGGATGACCAAGGATGATATGGTTGGATGGCATCACCAACTCAATGGACATGAGTTTGAGTAAGCTCTGGGAGTTGGTGATGGACAGGGAAGCCAGGCGTTTTACACTCCATGGGGTCGCAAAGAGTTGGACATGACTAAGTGACTGAACTGAACTGAATTAAAAGCCCCCAAAATAGGAGTGTGTGTCCACATGTTTGTGTGAGTATATGTGTGATTTGACAACCTGATGCTAAAATTTTATACACAGACACACACTCAGACATGCATGAAATTACATATGTAGTAATTTATTTAAATAATTAAATAGAGTATTATTTGCTTATCAAAAGGTTGAAAGAAACCTATATGTCCTTTAACAGGATAATGGTAAAATAATTCTGAATCAGCCATGCAATGGAAAACTTTGCAACCATGAAAGGACTAGGAAAAAAAATCAATAACTGATATGACTTCAGTTTACACTATTAAGTTAAAAAAACAAGTTGCAAAACAAAGTATATACTGTATTAGCATTTAGAAAGAAGATATGGATATATAAATATTTATATAAGGATAAATACTTGCATGTCTATATGTTTGCAAGGACATATACGTATGTATGTATACGTACATTATGCACATATATAAATAAGTAAACTATCTCTGGAAGTGGTTCAGGGTAGTGTTACCAAGCAAACGTGGAGATGACTTTTTTTGTCCTTACCTGCTACCCTCAGATCCATGATGGCCTCTTCAGAGGTCACCATCTTTAAGAAACAGTGGTACTGTCCCCATCAAGAACACTGACATTATGGATCCTGAGGGTGACCTTGCCTTCTCCTAGGGTGTCCTCAGGAGTACTGTGTGATTCATATAGTTGTAAGTGCTTCTTCCAGAGACTTCTTCCCCATCCTTGTACAGGCAAACCAGCTGGGAACAGTGCTCATGAAACCAGCCCACCCCCATGCGCTCTGCACTCTGTGGTGGGGACAGCTGGCAGCTGAACTCAGCATGCCCACCCACCAGGGCCACCTGGTGGCTCCTGGAGCTGCTCACAGTGAACTGCTCTGCGCAGAAAGTCAGAGATCAAGGATTTATTCTGAAGCCCACAGGAGAAAGCTTTACCTAGGTCCCTCTGCTCTGGACACATTGGCCTAACTCCTAGTTCTTGATGCCAAGTCCTTTCCGATTTTAGAACTCTGCTCTCAAAGATACCTTCACACTGACAGCAGTGCTCTTCTTTCACACCCTCCTACCCCTGCTTCCTTCTTACTTCTCAGGTCCCAGCTTTGATGTCAACTTCGTAGGGAAAACTTTTATCACCACACACTTAACATTTCCCCAGTCATGTCTTCCTAGCACTTATTATTACTGATATTTTAAATTCCTATCTTATTTCCTCTTATAACCAACTAATATGTAAGCTGTACAACAACAGAGTCTCTATCTTTTAAAAAATGCTCTGTATTATCCCCAGTGCATAAAACATTGCCTGAACATGGGAGGTACTCCATAAATATTTAATAAAGGAATGTGAATAGCTCACACCATTGAGAGGCAGGATATGGACCACTATGGCTGAATAACAGCCTTTACTTATCAAATACACCAGCTGCTTTTTTCAGTATCAGTTTTTGGTGCATTAAAGATGGCCACAAATTTTCTGATGCTCCATCCCTGAACAGAAAGTGCCTATGTCCCCTCCTTTTAAAACTGTCCTCTGATACTGTTTTGCTCAATAGAACATGGCAGAAGACTACCTGTAATCGTTCCTGGGTTTGTCTTAGGAATGAGCAGGTCTCATTCCTTTTTTTTTTTTTTTTCTCATTCTTTCTGGAAGCCATCAGTAGCCATATACAAAGTCTGATGAGCCTGAGACCATTATAACGGAAAGGCCATGTGTTAACATGCCAGTTGACAGTGCCAGGGGATCCCAGCCTTCCAACCTACTCTGCCAAAATGCTAGACATTTGAATGAAGCTACCTTGAGCCCTTTGGACCACTCTGCCCACAAGCTGAATATATGAAGAGATCTCAGTCTATCACATGGAACACTGAACATTTCCTTCAGTGTCTTTTATCTTCATCATTTTCCCTTATAGATGTAACATACCATGAAAAAGAAATGGATAACCCTACCTGAGGGGAGTACTACTATTTGTAAGAGGAGAGTGGCTACAGAGTATCCAGATACATAGGAAAATGCAAGCTCCATCACACCTGGAAAATGAAATAGCAATTGTGGGTAACACAGGAAAACAATAAACAGAGACAATTCTGAAATCCTGCCTTTTGAGAGAATTCTCTTTGACGTGCCACTGAATAACTTAGCCAAACCACAGGTGTCAGACCCACTGAGATTAGGTCTTTTCCTCTTGCTTTCCTTTGCTTTTACTGTGACTCATGCCTTCATTAGATGACTACTATGGAGGGCAGGTGTGGTAGACAAAAGCATAAACAGTGTACAGAACTCAGCTACGCACATTCCAGATTCACTTGGCCTCAACTGCATCTTGGCTTAAGCCACTCCCTCAATTCAGAGCCCTGGCTGCTGCCTCTGATGTTGCCTCACTTCCTAATGGAAACACTCATGTGCCTTCTGCTATGGGCAACAGGCCAGTTTTGGCAAAACAGTCATAATTCCTCTATTACAGACAGGGTCTGCCTGGATCTGCGACCTTCTGGCTCCACCCACTACTTCCACATTCAAAGGAAATGCCACATCAGAGGCAGGACCTGGACTCCCCAGTAGCTGCCCAAAGGGCCTGCAGAAAAAAGCTCAGCTATAAAAGTCTGCTAACTGCCTGGCAGAAAGTCTTGGATCAATCAGATACAAGAAATAAGAAGTAAGATTTTTTTTTCTTCTTCCAATATTATACTCAAACATGTGGAAACCTGATCCATGATAACACTAGGACTGCAAACTGAAGAAAGAATTGCTGTTCTGTGAATGGTGCTGAGACAATGCACAGGAAAGCAGAGCCTTGGAATCTCCCTTCATACCACACACAGATCAAAGACACGAATGTGAAAACCAAAGCTATGCAAATATCAGACCACTTTGTAACAATAGACTCTTTATATGATTGGGATATGAACAAATTCCTCAGACCGAATAAAATGATGGCAAATGTTAAATTCAACTTCATTAAAGTGTGTTTATATCAAAAGATATAAAGAAAGCAAAATGACAAGTCCTGATAAAGAAAACATTTACAACTACTAGAGCTCAAAAGGCTCAATATCGAAAATATATTAATTAATCCTTGCCATTCGAATTGCTGGTTGTCTTTTAAAAAAGACAAATCTTTCCCTACTTAGAGAGACTATCCAATGTTCATTAAGTAACTTGGACAACACAAAGATTACACTTTTCAGATTCCTTACAGCCAGGTGAGCTATAGGACTGATTTCTGGTCAATGCAATATAAATAGGACTATAAAGAACTTACTTTAATCCCTAAATTCAGAAGAGAAACCTTCCCTCCCTCTTTACAGCCAGACTGAAGCCCATCCTATGGCTATACCTAAGATAGAACCTGGACCTTGAAGTGAAAGTCACAGGCTGAAGATGGAGCAGAAAGTAAAATAGAAGCTTGGTCCTTAACTTTATGAAGCTGTCTCTTGGAAACTAACTTCGGTCTTCTTTTACCTCATTTAATGATGAAACATGTCTTTTTACTTAAATGGATTGCAGTTACATGGTTGTTCAGTTTACTGTTATTCTTTATAATGCAAATATATTATAAATAATATTTATATGAATTAAATATTTATCTTTAAAGTTTTCTTAAAATGAAAGACCAAAGGCAAGCATTTCAAGACTGGTAAGCCAGCTTACCAAAATTGCTTGAAGACCTACGTCCCTTCCAGATACTTTGAATGTATCTCACCCACTCTTTTTTTTTTTTTTCACATAAAACATTTTAGATTTATATTTTTAAATAGCCAAATAAAACAGAACATCAAGTCGCAGAACACATGTATTTATATTAATTCAAATGTCCAAAGTACAATATAGTGGCATCTCTTTAACAGTTCATATAATTTGAGACTTATACACACACAAGCATATAGACAAATACTAGTCTCCTAGAACAAAGGCTGAAGAAGTTACTCAGACATTTTGGCATTGACACCTACATATTTATGGCAACAAATAATGATGGCTTTAAACTTTCAATAAGATCTTTTGTACAAGGATAGGAGATGTACAGAATGGAAAGAAGACAGTCAAACAAATGCACCTTTACTGTACTATTTATCTAATACCATATGCAATGTGGCACTGCTCAGCAAATTTGATCAGGACTGTCTATTTACTCTGGTCTGCAATGATAACATGAACTGAAGTATCCCCAAATCTAACTTTACTTTGTGCTTTATAAACAACTACTGCTTGGTTTTTCCTTCTGCATCTTTTAAAAATGAACACTTTTCTTTAACATAACTCAACTTTGGTCCCAATAAGTTAGTAAAATCTCTAATACCTAAAATTTAGCTTTTCTTTCAAGAATCCTGAGTGAAAGGACAATGTCAGTCACGTCGCCTCCAGGCCAGCTTTGAAATTATCAGTGGTCTCACCCACTCTTAAACACACACATATAGGCTAAGAATCACTGAAATTATATCTTACATGTGTGGGAGGTTTATATTTATGATTTATAAAAAGTCATGAAGCATATTAATATATATACGCAAATATGTATATACAAAGTGAATCACTCATTACAATTTTGTTTTAATTCTCAGAGACTTAGTTACTTAAGGCACAATTTTAGCTTCTACTCTATCTAGAAATGGAACAATTAGTTTAGTCTGTTTTAGAGATACCTTGAACAGAGTCAATTTTTTTTATTACTATCATCAATCCAAAGGAATGAGTAGCACACACTTGTTGGTACTCAGTATACATAGAGTTATTTCTAAGCTCATTTCTAGTGGAAGTTGAAATAAGTCTACTCTTTAAAATACTAGAGACCTACTGGACTTATAATTTTCTTAACCTCTAAAGCAAATTACTCTGAAGGAAAGAAGTGAAAAAGGAGCAAAAACAAAAACAAAGAAAAATAAACATCAAAACAAAACCCAGACAGAGTAAAAAGGACCTAAGGTCAAAAACACTGGATAGCTTTATATGCAGCTTATATAGTCAAGCAAAAGGAGTAATGAAAGAAATAAGCCAAATAGAAGCATCTCAAATTTTCTCATTTACCTGTTCCCCAAAATAAAAGACAGATCTAAGAAAGACTCCAGGCTCTTCAGAAAGGACCTCACCCAAATGCCTGGATCAGCTGGGCTCTTGCTGTCCCAAAAACCACAAGCAGACGTGCTGTAGTCCTGGCAACCCGCAGGACTTTCTATAAGAACCCCAACAAATGCCTGTGTACTACAGCTTATTTTCCCGGCATAAAATATATATTCCCCTCACAAAGGAAATGCGAAGGTGGCAGCCTCACCCAGTGTGTAGGACTGCTCGTCCAAACTCATTTCACCATTAGGATGCAACAACAATTCTCAAACAAGCACAGGTTTCAACTTGACTCGCCTCCCTTTGAAAGTAAAGCATGAAACAATGTTTATTATGTAGCATGTCATTTGGATCAATTTAAACTATCTATGAAGGAGAAATAACACTATAATGTCTAAAGAATATTATATAAGGGACTATTGTGACTGTAGTCTTTGAAAATGGAAATAGGAAGGATCTTCCTTATCTTGATAAAGGCTATCTTTAAAAATCTCCAAAAACATTATTTTTAATGAGAAAAAAATCTTTGCAATCTTTCTCTTTTAACTCTGGCACAGTCTTAGTAATTTTTTTTTAATCTGTCTCCTCTGGCAAGGGAAAGAAAAACATAAATGGCACTTAAAATCTTTTAAACTGTGAGAAAATCCATCAACAAAATAAAAAGGCACCCTACTGAATGAGAGAAGATATTTGCAAATGATATGTCTGATAAGGGGTAAATATCCAAAGTATAGAAAGAACTCATACAACTCAGTATAAAAAATTAAAACAACTTGATTTTAAAAATGGGCAGAGGACCTGAATAGACATTTTCCCAAAGACATACAGATGGCCAATAGGCAAGTGAAAATGCTCAACATTACTGATCATCAGGAAAATGTACAATAAAACCACAATGAGATGTCACCTCATACCTGTCAGAGTGACTCTTGTCAAAAAGACAACAAATAAGTGTTGGGGAAGACGTGGAGAAAAGGGAAACCTTGTACACTGTTGTTGGGAATGTAAATTGGTACAGCCAATATGGAAAACAGTATGGAGGTTCCTCAAAATATTAAAAATATAACTAGTATATAATTCAAAAAATAAATTAAATAAATAAATAAATCTAAATAATTAAATGTTTTTATCTAACATGATCAGAAAATGAAGCTGTCAGAGTAGTGCAAATATGAGAAAGGAAGGAGAAAAATGAACAAATGTGGATGAAATAATTTACATGGAAAGTAATAAGAAAATAGAGAAATACAAATTTTTAAGAAATACAAATTTCTAGTACTTTTCTCTAACTTAAGTTAAATAATGTGTGAGATTGTTTAGGAATTTTAAGAATATTTTTCTAAACCTAAAAAACTGGATAGCAATATCATGTTCATGGAAGAAGAAAATATTAACATTTTAAGGATTAAAGTTGCCATCGTATAAGTCTACAAACCATAAACTTCTAATACAATGGTAGCAGAATAGTAGGAGCAATAGGGTAGCTTAACCTCAAAATTATGTGGAAGAATTAACATTCATTAATAACAAAGATAACCATAAAACAGTAAAGAGAAACGTTTCTAAATTCACTGTACTAGACATTAACATATATAATAAAGCCACAGTAAAAGGACACAGAGTGGTATTGGTGCAAAGAGACAAATCCAAATGGAACAGACTAGAGATATGAGAAAAGTAAATGTGGTATTTGATGTAAGTGGTGTATGTAGGTCTTTCTCCATTTGTCCCCTCAGATCCATTCTCTTCTTTCCTTTATTCTCTAGCCTGAGAGCTGCTCTCTACCAAGTCACCTGGGGTCCCTTCCCTTCTGGCCTATGAGAGTCATGGGAGACCGAAGGATGAGAAGAGAAAGAGGCCAAAGCATCTCTTTCCTTGCTGCCTTCCTGTTTTGTTGCCACACGTCAGGGGCCTCCTCCCCCTACAACTACAGCTCCTGCCCATAGCCCATCACCCATGGCTCC